CAGTAATCATGTAAACTTGCTCAACACAACAACGGATGAAGATACAATATGAAGGATGAGAAAATGATAAGAAAAATGAAAACTAAAAATCATTAAAAAATCAGTAAAATTCAGTAATTCAGTTAAAAAGTTTATAACATAACACCTGATGATGGCTATATATAGCCGAAACATGTCGTAAAATGTTCCACATGTAAATCGAGTACTCGATACGGAACGTAAAATGATGTTTTAATCTTTTAATTATCTTATATTGTGATTGACGGCCAATTTTAATATATTTTTAACATCTCAGAGGTAACTGAGTACTGTCTCCAGCATCAGGACCCATCGTCCTGACGATGGAGGCTCTGAGGACCTCTGAAACGTTGGTAAATTTCTAGGTCGCAACATCCCAGACGCCATCTTCACACTCGCCCGCTTTAAGAACCTGAAATCTCACCTTGTCATCAGACCAAGTTCAACGTGACTATAACGAGTTCAACCACATAACACGACCATGATCGAACGTGAAACAATGCCAACGAAGTTCATTCAAGAATTGCAGTGCCTGAGTATCCACTGGCACGGAACTGCAAAGCGTTTCACCTCAAAAAATCAGGCCAAGGACCTAAATACCTCATTGATGTCAAAAAGTTTGATATCTCGCAAGTGTCGAATCCGTTTCGACTGATCTGCGTTGTATTAGCCCCCACGGCCGCATATTATCGGTCCAACTTAGCAAATGAATGTTCCCAACCCACGGCCCGAGGGCTGCACTGAACCCTCCGAAATTCTACGTGCGCCCAGCGAATTTTTTTTAAAAATACTGTACCATCCTACATTACCTCGTATCAAAAAGGACGATCTGTTAATATCATCAATCTGATTTAATAAAGAACATCAAATCAAGAATTTGGATGTACCTTACTGATGAACATTTAGGGACATGTGTGTGAATTTCAAAGAAAGAAATTTAACATAACACAGAAATATCACTCAAGCGAAAGCAATGTGACATACCTCGTCTCCTCCTTAGTAAATCACCCTAATAATATTTAGTAAAAATAACAAATGATTAATCTCTTCGCAGTGTTTTTTTCCCCTATCGCTTCATTCCTCTCAGATCCAAATATTATTTTAAGCGTCCTGTTCTCAAACACGCTCAGTGCCCTTGGTGATTTCTTTCCTCAAAGCAAGGCAAAAAGTAAGTAAAATACGTAAAATTATAGTTTTCTGCCACGGTGGTCTAGCGGTTAGAACGCTGGCCTTGTAATCCTGGGGTCTCGGGTTCGATTCCCGGCGGTGCCCGAATTTATAACTTGTGTTGGGCAAGGCCGTGGTCTAGGCAACACGGAGTTTTCCTCCGTGGCATCCCAACAATTACTCCATTCACATACAGAAGAAGGCAATGGCAAACCACTTCTGGATCATCTGCCAAGAACGTATATGAACAGGTCCCAGTCCGAGAAAAGGATGGAAGGATCCTGTTCATATGGACCTGTCGTCAGACAGAACACTAAATAATAATAAAATAGTAGATGTGAATTTAAATAATTCTTAACTCAGTAACAACTACTGTTCAAAGCGTCTTACATAAAAACCCTAAATGTTTTATTTTATTATTACTGCACTGCAAGAGAATTTAAGGTCGGCGTGGGTTGGCAATACTGCTTTACGCAGACTTAACTTGGAATGCCGTAAGCGAATTCTAATAGACCTTGAGCACATAAATGTTTAATTATATCTGGAATTCTTTGTTGTCATTTAATGTATGAAGTTGTAGATACTATTTAAGATTGGGATGACGTAATTTTTACAAGTCACGTCAAACAGATAACATTACTGCGTATATTCATAATAAATTCGCTATTTATAACTCTCTCTCTCTCATTTACGACTCATAACAAACACTGGCATTGTGTTTACAGCAAGTGGTATAACACTAAAATCCCTGACACAAAAACACACGTAACACAAAAAACGCGGAACACATGAACAAAATTACCTTCTTCTGTGTAACCATGATACGTAATAATCACAAGATCACTGATATTAAAACATCTATAAACACGAGTGGTGGTCAGTATTTTGGAGTTAGTGTTGCGTGTTGACGTCGTGGTCTTCTGTGAAGTGGACAACTCCTGAGCGCATGCCCTACTGAAGTCCGCTGGAAAACTAGACCCATCTCTTCAGAGACAAACTCGTTGTGTGTCGTGACACGAGACTTGTTCCCACTTCCTTAGCAGCCGCGGCTTCGTAGTGGAATGTAAATGTCTTTCTTTCCTTCAGGCTAATAAATGTGGCCAACAGCTAGCGAATGAGTGACTTGGAATACGTTACCTCAACTACTATTCTTCATGAGACACACTGCTCGAATCTCATCTGATACATCTTCTTACAGCACTCAGACACAAACAGTTTTTATCCTTTCGCTCTCATGACATCGACACATTCACGTCCGACTTATTCGATGTTCACGAATCTCCAAAAGAAATCGACAGTCACCTCAGTCTTTAGCCAAATGAATCCAGTTGATGTCTGCCATTTTAATATTTTCCCGTCATCGATTCCTACTTATCCCAAATGGTCTGTTTCGTTCAGAACTTCCGGATAACACTTCGTACGACTTTCATATACCCGATTCAATCTACATGCCCCGCCAATCCTCGTTGTTATAACTCCTTTTTATGGGGGTTAAAAATTCGACCACACAATTTTTTGTTACAGTTTTCAATGTTCATTAAGAACCTACTACATGTTTCAACCTTTACTGGTCATCTTCAGGTGGTTCTCTTTAATTTTTTGAAACTAATAGATACGATTGCTACTTCGTACATACATTTTCTGTTGCTGACTTCAACACGTAATGGACTGTGTCTTCAGCAGCTTACGTGTTTTAGTAGAGTGGACTACGTAGGTGTAATCAGCGGTATAGCTGAACTGAACTGAATTGTTCTAGAACACTGTTTTGTAGACGTACTGCCAACCTAACGGTTATTTCTCCTGCTTCATATTCAACAGGTCCCAGGCTCAAATATTTGAGCCTGGGAATAATGACTCAGGGTTTTTCCTATATCTCTCAGATCCTCCAAAAAAAATTCTGGGTATTACCATAATCCTCTGACACCGAAGCACATCCATATTTATAAAATCATTATATCATACCTCAAATACAACACATCAACATTCAAAGATAATTTGGTTAATTCTGTTAAGGAAATATTCCGTGTTTATTTTGAGAGATATATTAAACAAACAAAAATACACTGTGTACGACCGTTTCCTTCCATATACTTTCCAATTTATTAATAATTCGACGCAAAACAACAAAAATTATCCACAGCATCCATAACTAATTAAGATGTTGGTCGTGACCCAAAAGTGACCATGACATTTTATCCTTCATAACTCTCATTAGTCATAACCAATTTTATGAAGTTGTCGAAATAATGCAGTTTTTGTAAAATTAAAATTGAAACGACGGTTTAACAATACAGCGCATTACAGCGGTCAAAGGTCAGAGTTCGCAAGCTGCTTCATTCTACCGATAACATTTCCTGAAATGATGACGTAAACAAACGCGAAGTAATTCCTCACATGAAACCTGCAAATATTTCGGACGCAGACCCACGTAAATCTGATTATAAATCTAATAACTAATGCCGATTCTTATCTAGAGACTCCTACAAAGTCTGAGAAATTGACAGCGTTAATAAATAAATCAGACGTACAAGTTCCAGGAAATATTTTAAATGATACCAAGTTTCATTTACAATACCCGAAGGAAAGAGACAGCATACCAGACCAAGGATTGAATGGGGCGATAATATTAAAATATATGTAGGATTTAATAATGATTCCGATGGTGACAGCAAAAGGATCACCATAACTTGTAGCCCCGACATCTGTTGCGCCAACTTTACATAACACTACCCTCCTACAGGCCGGATTTTTACCCCAGAGGCCCTACTTCGCGCCCAGGGCGGTTCATATGGGAGAAAGTGGCACCAGACAGGAAATTCTTCAAAGTCCTTCGGTTTTCCCCTGTCAGTACCATTCCACCGCTGCTCTATTATTCACTCACAAATCATCTGGGGGTTGGACAAAGGGCCCGTTAGGGTTCCCAGTTCTACAGAGAACAATAGCTTCACCCCTTCGAAACAACAATTCGTTCCCGCGTCTGCTTGTAAGTCCTTCTTACACTGCAACTGCTGTGCCTAGCCTGGCATTATGGACACTTCCGCTGTCCTCATTTTTATACAGTCGACTGCTTTCTAATTTATCTATTGAAAGAAATTATAATTCTGCTACTGCCATTCAACCCAACGGTGTCTTTTGGTGACGTATCATTTTTGTTTCTTATTTGAGACATTCTGTTCAACAGCGTGATTGCACAGTACAAGTATTCATAATAAGGCAAACGTAAAGTTTGTCCTGGTACTTACTAAGCACCAAGCCACGCATTTCGTACGATTCTAAAAATAAACAGCGTTAACCAGTTGATCTTCGTAATGGTGAAGTGCGGTGTTTTCTTCGCGGTACGGACTGAATTCTTAAATATTAATCAGACGAACTATGATTCTCAGTGTAAACAGCGATTATTTCCTTAAACAGCGTTAACCAGTCGATCTTTGTAATGGTGAAGTGCGGTGTTTTCTTCGCGGTACGGACTGAATTATTAAATAATATTTAGATGAGCCTCGTGCTTCACAGATGTAAATGCGACGTTTCAGTGTCCTCCCACGCTTGAAGTGTAACAAGTCACATGACGCTGTAACCTTCGTTTCTTAATTGTCACGTGCATCTGACGCGATTATCACAAGGATTAGTGATTTCTAGAATATGTCGTGACGTCTTCATTGTACTGCGCGCATTAACTACAGAATTTTTCGCCTTATCTCAGTTAAAAGCTAATTGAATTTTAAACAAGAAATACGTTTCAACTGTATTTTATTACACGCCACAGAATAGCACAATCCTGTTAAATTGTTTTTAATCCTATCTTGGTCATTCTGTATGTGCATAACATTTGACAGACGCAAGATAAAAATTCGTCCGCTCACAACTTAGATTTATCATATTTAAAAAACTGGACTTCCTTCCAGAACTCATAAATCATAACAAACTACGTGAACCAGAATTCTTCATGAGAACTAACAGTCGCTCAGCTAATTAAAAATTTCCCCGTCTCCTATGGATTGCGAAAGTTCATTATCGTGATTACAAAAGCCCTAGTCCCTACCCGTATCCAGAAGAATCCAATCCACACTTCCAAACAATACTTCCTTACAATACATTTTAATATTATTCTTCCATCTACGACTAGGTCTTCCACGCGGTCTCTTTCCTTTAACTCATATAGCCTACTTTCCTATTAGAGACATACACAGTTCTAAAATCTTGTGATTTTATGATATATTTCGATAGGACTACTGTAAATAAATAATCAAAAAAAAAAATAACGTATTTAATTAATACATTAGCACAGACGATTAGTTCAAACTGCTTGAAACTGTAAATATGTTATGGATTATTACAATTATTATCAGTGTTTTGGGGACAAACTTCCAAATTTTATCTACGTTATATCTACACTACCTTTACTCCGATACCAGCCAAGTTTCGGTTCGGAGACAAGCCCCTAACTTGGGATAATGTGCTACTTGGTCAGGGCTGTCGCACATAAATGAGTATGGAGATACAGTGACGAGATCAGCAAAGAGACACATAAAAACTATTAATTACTGGAACAATCGCGGACACAATCAGTATTTTACATTTCACCTTCCATAACAAGTGTTTACAGCAGAGCTCCATTTATCTACAACGCTGTAACAACTGATAACATTACAATGTATCACTGTCATATAGCAAATCTTTTGTTTTATTTGTATTTTATATCTTAACGTCGAGACTAATGTATCAAAGTTTCACTCCATAACATTTGTCAACGTCCCATATGATAATAAGCGATGGAATAAGATTATGGTATTTGTGTCTAGAACTTCTACCTACGTCATTTCATTTAAATATTTATTACAGGTAGCCCTCGATTTACGCCGGCGTAAACGGAACCGGCGTGAATTGAAACTCTTTTATGATGTAAATCAACGGGAAGTCAATGACATGTTCCCCAGCACCCAAACATTGACGAGTAATATAATGACGTTATATTTAAAGCTCTGAAATAACGTAAATAAAATGAAGGGAATTTAACAAATATATTTTATACACTTACAATCGGCAATTCGTTGGTCTTTCATGTGTACATTCACCTCTGCTGTTATGCGATAGTTGCATTCATGTAAGACGCCGGCCTATAAAAAATCACGCAGTAAAAATAACCCCATTACCTCCGCAGAGATTAAATTAGTCTTTTGAAAGTTTAAAGCGCCAGGAATGAAATTGCATAAGAGCAAACTCCAATATAAACAAAAGTTTGCTTTTCACAAACAGCTTTTACCGATTCATCGATCTCATTGGAGCAAATTCGCTTAAACGAAACATACGTAATTGCAGAGATGAATTTTTATTCAAAATCAGCGACGTGAGAATTATGATTTAGTATAAGAATCAGTACTAGATACATTGTAAAACGTTATAAGTAATAGTAAAAAATATAATTTTTGACTTGTTGGTTTCAAAATCGGCGTTATTCTGAACCGGCGCAAATCGAGGGCTACCTGTATGAATTATTTATCAATCAGTTACGCAAAAATGAATGCAAGTTAAACTTACTTCTTCTGAACTCTCTTCATCAACATCAGCATTACTGTTCAGCAGAGATGTGGCTGAAAGAAAAGAAAGCTTGCAGTGAAGAATTGCTGATGGGTCAGAGGTTAAATAAAGATGAACCGCGTGTTAATAGCCCCCCCATGTCTTGTTCACTGACACATGTTTAAAATGTAGGCCACTATTTTTAAAGCAATATCCACGTGTTAGCTACTCGTCTAAATAACATAAGAATTCAGTCCGTACCGCAAAGAAAACACAAGGCTTAACCATTACAAATATCAATTGGTTAACGCTGTTTTAATTAGCCCTTTGAAGCCGAAGCTTATGTAAATAATATTTAAGAATCCAGTCCGTACCGCGAAGAAAACACCACACTTCACCATTACGAAGATCAACTGGTTAACGTCGTTTAAGGAAATTAATCACTGTTTATTCTCAGAACCATATGAAAGCCATAAATACATAATACAGAGTTACTGATAAAACATGTGGTACATATAGTTACCACAGGGCTTTAAAGGGCTAATATTAAGGCTTAAATAAATT